CAACCAGTAGACTTCAGTGCAGTATAAAACATTGAAAAAAGAAAGAGCCAACCTCTCTTAGAGATGCCAGTTCAGGTCAAACATCTGTTTTCCAAAAGGTTCGTAATTCTTAAGTGCATGCTTCGATATGCCTTTATTTCTGTACTTCTCTCCAGGAATTCCTCAAAGATAAATAATTTGTGATAAACGGCCATTCTGGCTAGGTACGGAGGTTATTTATGTGCTCAGTGTAAAAAAATATATTGTAGTAGTAAAATTTTAGAGCCTGCCATAGTTTAGGTATTTTTTGTAAGCTCATTTCAGTGCTTAAAGACATTTCAGTATGTCTTTTAAGATGAGAGAGAAGTGCATCACGTGAGACTTAAGTGAGTTGTTTTAACAATACATCAGTCAGTGTGGCTTTTTTTTAATATATGTAGAAGCAATGGGTTAAGTTTTGCTTTTCAATGTTTGCTTAACCCAAATCATTGCACATACAATGCTAGCTAGTGCAAATATACAGGACAGGTGAAAATCGTGAAATCGGCAAGTCGTTTGAAATTGATCCCTTTTAGCAGAGCTCATACTAAGAATATATATATATTTCATTTTTTTTGTTTAAAGGTTATTTGTTAAACTGGATAAACAAAAACAAACTTCAGATAAACAAAACTTTATTTTTTTTGATACAAAATTCAGAGAGGATAAGTTTGAATGGGAGATAGGTGTAACTTTCCAGTCCGTGCTGCAGCCCGGTTATAAGCTAATGATATTGCCAAATACGGCAGGTCTCATATGTTACCTATTCTTATGAATTTGGAATTTCTCCTCACTTGGTGGTTTAAGATGATTGCCATGAGAGGAAGTGGTGATTTGGCCAGCATTACTCGTGCAGCAGCTTCTTTCCACGCTGCTACTCACGCCTTCCCCAAAGGCCGAGCCGGGACACGCACCTCCTCTCCCTCCAAACTCCCCGGCAGCTCAGAACAAAGCTGCTTTAGTCCTGCTCCCAAACACCATAAACACTCCCATTTTCCATGGTTTCTTCTCCTAGATTTGGGAAGTGAAGGCCTTCCTTCAGAGCTGGTCTTCACCCGGGTCTTGCTCACCCCAGAGAGCTGGGGTGGGAGTGGGACGGGAACACGAGTGCAGTAGCCTCCCAGTGGAGCTGGGAGCGGACCTGCTCTGCTCTCCTGCAGGACATGCTTAAGGTTGTTATGTTTTGCTTTATATCTATCTGTATTGGCTTCCTATTCCCAGCTGCTCATCATACGCTTTTGCCAGGTTAAACCGTGTTCATTGAACCATATTATTTGGTATGTGTGCTGTCCATCCTGTGACTGTGCTGTGCCGTGGGACGGCTGTTGGGTTAAGGGTGTATTGGCATCGTCTGAGCTTCGACGTCCCTTACAGTCTATGAGATAGGGTCTTAATTTAGCTCTCTGAATCACTCCATCGCTCCTCACTACAGAAGGGGCCTAGCTCCCAGCTTAGACACGAGGCACAGATATCTCAGGTTGGGTCTTTGCGCCCCAAACAAGGCAAGGTTGCAAGTGCTACTCCCAGATGCAAGGGCAAGTTTAGAAATTCGTGCCTCGTACCTCCTCACCACCCAGCCCATCTCTGGGGAACCGCAGGGCATTTGTATTACCCTCCTCTTACTCCGAATATCTTCCACCCTGAAATTTGTGAAGGTTGATGAAGGGCAAATGAAGGTCTTTTAGGATTAGATTTCCTCCTTGGAAACCTCCTCCAATGGAGCACCCGTTGCTGGATGGGATGCTGGATGCTCAACCAATGGCTGGTTGAGTTGTTTCTGATGAAGTCTCATGCGTTACAGCATCAGTGATTCTATAGTAAAATGTCAAGGTCACCCTCGAGTCTCCCCCTTCATCAGTCTTTGGCCTGGCAACTCTGGTGACAGAGGAAATACCTTCAGCGTAGAGACACCCAGCAGTTCCTCTGGCTGAGCTAGCTGTAGGACATGACCCCCATCCAGAGGGACACAACAGTGGCCCCACCAGGCAAAGCAACTGTCAGCGTTGGCTAGGTGAGAGTTCTGGCTTACTAGCTTAAATTGCAAGAGGCTGAACGGTCTTTGAGGTGAACGGCCGTCTCCTTTGACGTGAACCACCATCTCCTCTGAGGTGAACTGCATCCCCTTCGTGAACTGCTTTGATAGAGGGGGCTCTCCAGCAGCAAGCTCCCTGACTCTTCTCCCTCTCAGCATCAAGACCCCTGGATGTAATATACTTTTCCTCCTCAGTGCCTTTCTCCGTGACACAGCAGAGTCCAGGCTCAGAGCGCTCAGGCGGCCTTCGAGCTGGGGACGTTTCCTCGGGGTCACCCATTTAAAGAATCAAAGAGAAAGAAGTTCCATTCAAGTAGGTAGGCTTATGTAAAAGAAATTTCCTGGCTTTGCAAAACCTGCCTTCTAGCCCGTCTTTCTGGTCCTGGTCCTACACTTGGGATCTGTCCTTGAAGGGAAGGGAAGAGAGGGTGAGATGCACCTCTGTGCAAGTCAAGGAGAGTCGCAGGACAGGTACAGACCGCATGGCGGTGGACATTTGCACACCCAGCTTCCATGCGCGGGGTGAGCTGCACATCTCCGCCCTTAGCATTCGGAGCAGGGTTTTGTTGTGCCTGTTTATAATGCGATGTAGTGTACCGCTCCTGATTAATTTTTTGCTTCTGATTAGTCAGGACTGCACATAAACAGATGTGCACGCAGAGAAGCGTGCACTGTTAATCAGGAACTCTTAAGCCATCTGGCATGGGAAGGGGGATGTTGCAGCTATGCAATGAGAACCTCCTGCTCAGCAGCCACGTTCGCATGAAGCGAGTTGTGTGTTAATATATTCTTGCCAGTGCTGTCAGTTCCTTCGTCGGGAGAGGAAGCGTAAGTGGCAGGAGGGATTTTTGGAGCTTGCTTTCTCCACGGAGGTCCTGCTTCTGTTAAGTGGGTTCAGAGAGCCTGTCTTTCCGTTTGAGAAGTTCATGAAAGTAGGGGTGGAAAAGCTTTTGAGCTGCCTGTACGGCGCCGCTATTAGATAGGATATTCTGCTCGACGGCGAAGATGGAGTCCGCTGCATGTCCAGTAGCGCTTCTTATTCTTGTTACCGATTTCTTTTAGCGGCCCCTCTCGCAGAGAAAGCCCAGAGCAGGAAATGACATGCCATCCAGGCCTCTCTTAATTTATTCAGTTTCCATCAAGTCGACAATTATGACTAAGAAAGTTAGTGACCCTAGATGACTGCAAAAAAAAGCTGCCAGCAATCTTCCTGTTTTTGGTATTTGAAAAAAATGGAAGTACTGCCAAGCTGGGTCTTCTTGCCTTCATGTAGCCGGATGCCTTTTTATTTAGCTCTGTAATGCTCATACGTTATATAGTGCAGCATATATGTAGTGCAATGTCCTGACTGACTTGCTGTGATTTTGTATTTATCTGAGAGCAGACTGAAGATGAGTTTTGGTACTGTGGGAAAGCAGTCTGTAATGCCGCAAATGCTCACCGTAACCGTTAAAAGAGGGTTTTCTGGCATCTTTTGTTACTGTAAGTAACTTTTACTTTGTAGCAGGGTGGTCCCTAACATATCAGAGCTGAATGCAAATCCACAAGGTCAATTCTTTTCATTTGATATTTTAACAGACACACACACTATCTAGAGAATCCTCTTGCCAGAGACAGCCCGAGATCTGGGGACCACTCTAATAGACGTAATAGAAGGAGATAATTCAAAAACTCTGTAACACGATACTTGGATTAAAACCATTCTCAAAAAATTAAAGCTGCCTGGTCTATGCCTGATACTGAGAAGTCAAGCATCTTAAAATGATTTTTTGTAAGGAACGCTTGTAATTTATACCATCTCTTTTAATTTTCTTCCAAAGCACAGATTTGTAGCTCTCTTGAGGGAAAAAAAAACCTTGGCGGTGGAGTTTTCCCCGGAGTTTGTTTATATTTTTGTTTCTCCTCCTATAACATTTTTGGCCTTAAACTGTGTTTCAAAGTTGTTCTGAGATACTCAGAGCACTGAGCAAATAATTCACAGGCATCTCTTTGAGGCACTTTGGAAAACAAAGTCATGGATGACATTTCTAATCGAACGTAATTCTCACTTGATCCTTTGATGTTGGATGTTAACCATGAGATTACCGTCATCCTTTTGCTGTTAGGAAAATTCACGGGGAGAAAACCAAGCCGTCGTAAATGGAGCTGAGGGGGGAAGCGTGTTTGAAGTGCAGTCTCGGGCCTAAGGAAATGTTGCTGCATCGCAAGACTGGCTAAAGAGGGCTCTGTTATTACTTTTTGATATGATTTTGATGTCTACTGAGAGTTTTAGTGGGAGTTAAATGCTGAGCAAGCCAATAGAGGAAAATCAGAATTAAAAAGAGAGGCAGAAACGAAGGTGGTGTAGACAAGCTAGAAGCAGGTACAGTCCACCCTTAGCTTGAGGTCTTTTTAGCCCTGACCTTTGTTGCCATTTGAAGTATTTTACCATATATTTCCAGTTTCAGAGTGGATTTCTGCATCGTATTGCAAGGGAAGACCGCTCTGTCCCCATTTTTAAAAAGGGCTTTGCATTTGAGGTGCCTGCTCACTGCATTTCAGCAGTTACTTGCTGTACTATTACAAAGTCCTGGTGCACGCTACATCCCAACTCGGAAGGGGAGCATGGGCCCCGTGGCATCTTGGATGTATTTAATAACATCCTGCAAGTGCGTGAGGAGAAGTTGAGAACTCCGAGTAGCAGGACGGGAATGGCAGCCCCAGCTTGGACCAGCATCAACGGCGCAGAGCGCGTCAGGATTGCGCTCTGGCTCGGCGCCTCTGTGCTTTAGCGACAAAACCCCAGCCCTTTGCACTTCTCCGTTAACACGCGGAGGTCACGTAACAGTTTCAGGGTGTTTTCTGTGGAGGGTCTTAGCCGGTGCCGAGGTGGGAATTCAGCACTGCCGTAATCCCGGTTTAGCCCCCTCGGTGACGTGCCCGTTGTAATTCTGACTGTGCTCTCCTCTAGGAGGACTTTCGGAATAAAGTTGAAGATTACATGAAGCGCTACGCGAGATGATGAAGGGCGACGGGCGGCAGGACCGTGGCTTTCCCGCTATAGAGCTGTCTTTCACTTCCAACGACAACAACGGCACCGAACAGCCCAGATTGTACTAGTCCTGTGTCCATGTTGTACTGAAGAAGAAAACTAACTTCATAACTTGTCCATGTTAAAAGGGGAGTTCAGCGTAAATACAGCGAGACATTGTGTATGTTGGTTGAAAGAGTTGTTTGCTTACTTTTAAAACGTTTACTCCTCCGATCTGTACTGTATATCCTGTTGATGAGATACGCTTGAGAAGTTAAGAGAAATCACTATTGAAATTGTATTTACACTTTCTTTTTTTTTTTTTTAATTCTTCTTCAAGTTTGGGGAGGGGAAAAAGGAAAAAAAAAAAAAAAGGCGATGTGTTTCTGGAACGCTTGGAGTTGGCAATAAAACGGTCTCCTGTGTACCAAATCCCCACAACTGCTGCCTTTGATGAGCAGAAAGAGTAGGAGCTTTTTGCAAGAGCCGTTGAGCTAAGGCTCGGAGGGCTTGCCCGAAGGCGAGCACTAGGTGAAATTCGAATTCTGCTATTGAAATTCCCATTACTGCGTCATCTACGTACTTTTTTTTGCCACACGTTTGGAATCGTTACACTTGTTATTTTCGGCTCCTGTTTGGGCTACAGTATTTTTCGTTCCTGTTTTGTTGTGTGAAGTAGTTAAAAGAAGTGGAGGCTAATCCGTACCTTAAGTCAATGTGTAGTATTAGCAAAATTTTATATATATATATGTGTGTGTTTGTGTGTGTGTGTGTGTATTTTTCTGTGAAAATGTAATGAAAGGGAGTGTTTTGGGGTTTGGTTTTTTTTAAAGAAATGTGCCTTTGGCTTTGAGACGTGGACGTGGTAAAGGCCAGCGCCGTTAGCTGGAGAAGGCCAGGTTGCGTTCTTCGAATGACTTAAGGAGGCATTGGGAAAATAATACCTGTTTAACGCGCCGACGAGCCGGGCTTTTTTGGGGAGGGGGGTGTAAATTCGAACGGCTCTTATTCTAGAGTTGTCTTTTTTTTTCCTTTTGTAGCTCTAGCTGTCGTGTCAAACACATAGTCAAAGTATGTGCGAGCGGAGATGCAAAAAGCGAGTAGCGTGTACCCCAGGAATGGCTCGAAAGTAAAGGCCGAGAAGGCATTTTGGACTGCTGCTGCGGGCACAGCGTGTCGTCTGTTGCGG